GGGTCTACCGTACCCTGATCTGGACTGAGGGAGGACCTGGGGTCTACAGTACCCTGATCTGGACTGAGGGAGGACCTGGGGTCTACAGTACTGGTTATGGCTGATCATGAGCGTGCCTCAGCTGTGGTAAGTGAGTGCTCGTGTCTGTTGACAGGTGGGAGCACGTGCTCACGTGCAGCTTCTGCATGTCTTCACTAACACTTTCATTTTATCTGCATGTTCAGTGAGAACTGTCGGGGTTGGACAACAGTCATTTACCTTCTCATCCATGTCGCTGCAGCAGGACAGAGCTCCGGCTGCCTCCACCTTCTTCAGACCACAGTCCCACCAGTCCGGCTCCCAGTCCCACCAGTCTGGTCCTGGAGGCATGAAGCTGGAGGCGGTCATGGAGAGCCTGCAGCGGCAGCAGGCAGCACGGTTAGCCCTGGAGGAGCACCTCTGGACGGAGTCCGGGATCCACCACCAGGGCGCGTGCTCCACTCCGGACCCTGCAGGGGGAGGCTCGCGCACTGGGGTCCCACTTCCTCCCCTGGAGGACGGAGGCAGCAGGCTCTCCAAATCGGGGACTGAGGACAAGAACCGGTCTGAGGAGGGACATAAGCTGGACGTGACTGATGATGAAGAGGACGAAGATGAAGACATCGGCTCGAACCGCGTCCAGCACCGTCAGTCCGGGCTCCGGGGATCTGGTCCGCCCTCCCAGGACTCCACGGGGCATTTCATGGCCAGAGTCCCGGGGTCCAGAGTCCCGGGGTTTAGAGTCCCGGGGTTTAGAGTCCCGGAGTCCAGAGTCCAGGAGTCCAGAGTCCAGGAGTCCGTGGAGCCGGCGTCCTCCGAGTCTCCGTGTCATCACGAGTGGACCTATGAGGAGCAGTTCAAGCAGGTAGGACCTGCCGTGGACCCGTTTCTCCACAGCTTCCAGTTTTTAGTTGTGACATCACCTAGCTGCTGTTGTTTCGTGTTTTAACTCCATTTTCTCTTCTTCTCAACTTGTCCTCTGCCGCCAGTTAGAACCAGGTCTGGGCTGCAAACCAGTCCAGGCTCAGTGGGATTCAGTGGGATTAACCTGTAGTTAACTCAAGGTTGAAAGAAAGAAGTCACAGACAGGAACAGACCCAGAGCTGGAACAAACCCGGTTCTGACCTGGAACACACCCGGTTCTGACCCGCGACAGTCCGTTTTAAACGTATTTTATCAGGGTTGCCAGATAAGAAATGACGAACTATCAAACTCGTTTTAAAATCAAGTTTTTTACCAAAATTATTTTAAGCATGGAGTGGGGGGGGGGGGTGCACCTCTTTCAGTGGGTGTGGTGCACATCTTTCAGTGGGTGTGGTGCACCTCTTTCAGTGGGTGGGGTGCACCTCTTTCAGTGGGTGTGGTGCACCTCTTTCAGTGGGTGGG